TGACGTGTAATACAAAGGTGCAAACTCTTTTAGTGTCGCCATCGCATCACCTCTTTACTATATATCAATGCTTGTTCTGGTACGACCACAACGGAACTCAGTAAATCACTTATGTTATTTTTTATGCAAAATATAATTCTTAATCAGCACATGTAATTCACTCTTTTTCATTTTCTTTAAAATTCCCGAAGTTGTCTGCTTTCAATGGCTGTCGAACACAAACTAAATGGCGCAGCCGTAGAAGGTTGTGGGATAGTATTTTGTGCGTAACGTGTGCTTATTTTGCAGTTCGTGTTTATGTGTATGTATTTGACTACGGTAAGTATTTTTATTCTGTGGTATAAAAACTAAACATTAAAATGTAACTAACTATAAGTATTTTGAAAATAGTCGAGAATATAAATGAAATGTTTTTTTAAAAATAAGATACGAGTGGAAAATAATTTAATAATCTATACTAATATGTAATGTAAAATACTCAGTGAACTGACTAATTAATCTCGATCATGGGCTCGTTTGACGTAAAAAGCTGAATTTCAGCATGCAAGTTGATTGATAGGGTGTAGAGGTTTCATGACAGGGCATTTTTCAAAACTCGAATTTTAAGGGGACGAAACTACCCCTTAAAAAATTTTATTTGCTTCAAAATTGTTGATATAAGAAAAAAGTGCCGAAACAGTTTTATATATTTTTTTTGTTTTAAAAATATACTCCATGGGAGATTTTACACAGGAAAGATATTTACCGCAACACATACCATAAATCTTATTGCAACTACCGATTACAAAAATTCAGTAAATGGATTTCTGCCTTTGCGACCAAAAAACACACAAATATTTTTCAAATGTTCGAAGTTGTGGAATAAATGCGGACGGCCGAAATTGGCTGAAATAATACAAGAAGAACTTGGACATAAGTTAAAAGTTTCAGGAGTTACCAGATGGAACTCCACTTATGACGCTGTCGTCCAAAAATGTTTCCGTCAAAAATAAGTTAGGAGTTCTATGTGAAAAACTTATGATTCCGGTATTTAAGGAACATGAAATATCCTTTTTAGAGGAATATATTAAATTAATCCAGCCTCTGGCTGAAACATTAGGTTTTTACAGGGAGAGCCTAACACCTATTATGGGTATCTGCTTCCCAGCGTAGTTTCGATGAAAACGAAACTTCAAAAGTTGAAAATATCGGGCGATATAAAACAGCTAACAGTACCTTTGGAGGCCATAATTAAATCTGTTGGGCAAAGATTTAAAGAATTTTTAACTCCAATAAGTCCAGAATCCAAAACTGACGTAAATGGCGCCGTAGTGTGCCCACGATTCAAAATGAAAGAAGAACAAAAGTCGGTGTCTTTATTACTTTATTAAGTACCAAATACCAGCACAATGACTTCTAACTGAATTAGAAATACTTAAACGACACTAACTAATTTAGACATGCTAAACGATTATAGGTATATAAAGTTAGTTTTTATTAAATACAATACTATCCTGCCATCTTCCGCACCAGTCGAAAGACTTTTTTCTTCTGCTGGATTGTTAATGTGCTACGTAGGCATGCTTTGAGCGACTGTAATTTTGAAAAAGTAGTCGTTCTTAAAGCAAATGGCAATTATTTAGACTCAAGATCCAAGTAGTAGTTAGTAATAGTAGTAGTACTGATGTATTTATAAGTTTTTGTGGTACTGTTTTTTTTATTATTTTGTTAATAAGAGAATATTTATTTTACCTTGTACTACTTCATTTTTAAACTGTACGTTAAAAATATGAACTGTATATTAATAAATACTTTATTACTAATATCTAATATTACTAATCCCGGTTAGCAATATTTTAATTTAAATTGAGCTGACTTAGGCCTTTAAGCTTCACACCAGCATAGATCCTCTATTATTTTTATATTCTTAAATAAACACAAATATACTTAAGTGTTTTGTAAGTACTTATTTAAACCTAAATGTACTTGAGTACATCTGTATATGTACTTAAGTATACAATGTATTTAAGTATCCTACATTCTACGGAAGTATATTTCAGAAGTTCGTTTTTATGTACTAGGCTAATGCACTTAATTTTTAGGATTTAATTACTAGGTACTTAAATACTAAATAGATGATTAAGGACTCGTAGCGGCTGTATCTCAGAAACTATTGATCATACGGCTTCAAAAAAAAATTTAAAACAAAAACGGTCAAGAGAAAATGCTGGAAATTATTTTGAACTTTCTATTTTAACCGTTAGAGGGCGTAATTCGCTATGGTAATTCAAAAAAATCACTTTTCCCCTATAAATGTCTAATAATAGTATGATAATAATAATCGAACGGTAATTTTGATTAAATTTTACAAAAGTTTTATTCAACACTTTTTGCTCTATTCAATAAAATAACAGGTAGGGGCGATTGGGAACCTTAATTTAATAAATGTATTATAACTACGGTGTCTTTTATCAGATTTTGAAAAAATTTATATCGATTAAAAGAAAATTGATTGTTTAGTAAAATATTTCAAAATAGTTCTGATTCAGTTGTTTAAAAGAGCACTAGGTGCCGTTGTTTAAGCAGTAACCATTTTTTTGAAGTTTTCTTGAAAAATTTTAATGGAATGTTATAATTTTTATACGTTATTTAGAAAGAGAATTAAATTCTGACAAGAAACAAAAAAAAACCGTGTCTTTTTATCTTTTTCCTAACCGAATATAAGCAAAAGTCTATTAATGGTGAATAGTCCACTTAAATATTAATAAATAAAATTATTGCTATTTTAATCTAGTTGGCTTTGAAACGTCAGTAATTTTTCGATAGCTTAACTGTAAAGCGATTAAGACAAAAAATATTAAAATCGGATTTAAATTAACTCTTTAGTGTAAGTTTACTGGTTTAATAAAACTAATTGCGAAATAAAAATTGAATATATTAATAAAATACAACTAAACACAGAACACAATAGAGAATGCAATACAAGAATTAGAGGTAGTGCTCGAATTGTTTTCCATCTTTTTCAATGCAAATATCAAGTCTCTGTTTAGTTGAATTGACAGCAGCTTCTATTTCAGCCCTAGGAATACGATCAATTTCAGTTTGTATTCGTTGAATTAGATCTTCTCTACTTACAGGCTGAGTTTGGTAAACTAAATCTTTAAGTCGACCCCACAAATAAAAATCTAATACGGTGAGGTCGGGAGATCTATGGAAATAGACTACCTCTTCTAATCCACCTATTCCGAAAATGTTGATTTAAAAAGTCTTTTACAATATTTGTATAATGTGCTGGGCAGCCATCCTGCTGTATCCACATATTACGGCGTACCTCTAGTGAAATATTTTCTAATAAAATAGGCAATTCGTCTCTCAGTAATCTTAAATATCGCTCACCATTTAAATTTTCATTAATAATAATAGGACCTATAATTTTACCGTCTAAAATTCCACACCATACATTTACTGACCACCGACCTTGATTAAAAACTTCTCGCATCCAATGAGGATTGTGGTCAGACCAGTAATGCATATTATGCCTGTTTACAGATCCATTACTGGAAAATGTAGATTCGTCGGACCACATTATATGTGATAAAAATTGTGGATCCTCATTAAGCATATTCTTAATCCAGTCTTTTATCATAATCTGTTAATTTCAGACCTTGATGAAGGGCTACATGGTATGGATGGAGACGATTTTGTTTTAAAATAGAACAAACGCAGTACCTAGTAAGTCCTAAGTCGGAAGCAATTTTCCGTATACTTATATGTGGATTTGCAGCAACGTATGCTAATATATTTATTTCGTTAATTTCCGTTCTGCTTCTTCTACGTCGTTGAATAGCTTTTTTAGGTTGAACACAGCCAGTTTCTTTTAAACGAATCGCCAGATTTTTAAATGTTTCTCTTGTTTGCAAAACTCGCTGAGGATATCTCAACGCATATTCTCTGGATACAATCGGGGCGTTCTCAAAACATTCCAAATATACTTTTAACATGTCATAAGCTTCGGAATTACTGTAAGGCATGATGTCTTTTAACTTATTAAAATATAATTAATTTGACATTTAAGCTTACTGACATTTCAAAGCCAACTTGATTAATATATCAATAACTTTATTTATTAATATTTAAGTGGGCTATTCACTCTTAATAGACTTTTGCTTATATTCGGTTAGGAAAAAGATAAAAAGACGCGGTTTTTTTTGTTTCTTGTCAGAATATAATTCTCTTTCTAAATAACGTATAAAAATTATAACATTCCATTTAAATTTTTCAAGAAAGCTTCAAAAAAATGGTTACTGCTTATACAACGCCACCTAGTGCTCTTTTAAACAACTGAATCAGAACTATTTTGAAATATTTTACTAAACAATCAATTTACTTTTAATCGATACAAAGTTTTTTAAAATCTGATAAACGACACCGTAGTTATAATACATTTATTAAATTAAGGTTCCCAATCGCCCCTACCCGTTATTTTATTGAATAGAGCAAAAAGTGTTGAATAAAACTTTTGTAAAATTTAATCAAAATTACCGTTCGATTATTATTATCATACTATTATTAGACATTTATAGGGAAAAATTGATTTTTTTGAATTACCATAGCGAATTACGCCCTCTAACGGTTAAAATAGAAAGTTCAAAATAATTTCCAGCATTTTCTCTTGACCGTTTTTGTTTTAAATTTTTTGTTGAAGCCGTAGGATCAATAGTTTCTGAGATACAGCCGCTACGAGTCCTTAATCAGACACCCTGTACTTGTACTGGCACTTACTTGCAATTTTTAAAAGTACTTGTACGTGGGACTTAAGTACATTTTACTTGTATTTACAGCAGCTCTTGTTTCTGGATCTGAGTTTCTTATTAAACGGCAGGTTTATTTTTAGTATTTACATACCCTATAAATTTGTAACTCGTTTTCATTAACACCGTGTATAGTTGAACAAGAGATTTTTGTAATTACGTAGGAATAAAAACGAGTAGTTAAGTAAAAAAAAGTGTAAATGGGCTTACCTGTCGAGGTAACGTTGGTCGTTGAAGTGCCAGGTCTCTGGTGATAAATACCATTCACGGGATGCGCCGTATTCTGAAAAATAAAACGAACGTGTTTTCGTATCTGTTTATTCAGTGTTTTTAGCTACTAAGCTTTTAGTTTCTCTGTATACCAGATTAATTGGATTTTTAAGGTTGGTTAAAGTCGTAAGTAACGGAATAACGTTCTTTCGGGGAATGTGACCCTGAGGTCACTATTACAGAAACATAAAAATACGCTTTAAAATAGAATTCTTAGAATTCGCGTAGGTAATCAATATGAGGCAAAAGGTCCCGTACAGAGGACTCTTACTAAATTAATTTGTCCAACAATAGTGAATATGGACAATCCACTCGAGTTGTACAGAATATTTTTTCTACGACCCACTAACAAAAATCTATAAATTAAAAAAAATTAGTTTAGGTTATTAAGACAAAATTTAACTAATTTATAAAATAAAATAAACATGAAGAAAAAAGAGGTAATTTAATTAGTCCCTAGCCCAGATTTGAACCCGGGCCACTCGCAAAGCAGCCAAACGCCCTGATCTCACCTCCATGGAGACACCATTTTAGTTTTAACACGAGTATTCGTAATTAATTTAGTTTCATATAGGTACATAGTTTAATTAAAATTTATGATTTATTTGTAAACATATACGAAATAAAAATATTCATTCTATTATTTATCGATTATACACAAGAATAATTTATTTTTACGTATATTTAGTCTCAATAACTAAGAACTATACTTTGTCACTTATATATGAATTGTGATTTGAAGGTTTCATTTTTTTGCAGTGATCTTACTAGGTAGAATGGATATAAAATATACTCGTTCAGTTAAAAGCAAATGGCATACTTTTTCGTTTTGTGGTCTGTGCGTATATAAGTTAATATCTTGTGGGTGTAGAAAATAATTTGTGCAACAAAAGTGGATATGATGGCCATAACGCACGAAGACGAAATTTGAGTACGACCCCGTAGGCGGAGTGGACAATCCACTCGAGTTTTCTACGAACCACCAACGAAAATTTACAAATAAAAAGAATATTTTAGATTATTAAGACAAAATAAGTAATTTTAAAATAATTTATGAATTTTAATAATTTTTAAAATAAAATAAACGAAAAAAAAAAAAACAAAGAAAAAAAAGTTCATTTAATTTTTCCCCATCCGAGAATCGAAATCCAGTTTTCCATTTGGAAGGCAAGAACGCTAATCACAGGACCACCTATTCTTTTATTTTTAATGCTTTAATACTCGTAATTAAATTGACTTCATATAGTTTCATTTAAATTAACAAATTATTTATAATTATAGACGAAATAAAAACAGAAATGTTATTATTTATCGATTCTACACAAGAATAACCTATTTTAATGTATGTTTATTCTCAATAACTAAAACATATACTGATAATTAGTTTGACAGAATTGTCACTTATTTAAAAATAATAGCAGTCGGTTGATCAAAATATGAACGGTGATTGGTGGATTTCATTTTTTTGCAATGTTCTCACTCCCTAGAATGGATATGAAATATATTCGTTCGGTTGAAGGCAATAGCATACTTTTTCGTTTTGTAATCTGTGCGTAGATAAGCTAATATCCATATGGGTGTAAAAAAATATTTTTTGATCTTGTTAAGAAAAAGATTTACTACAACTTAATAGTAATCATTTAAAGAAAAATACATGTTTAATAATGTTAATTCTCTATTAAAAGTTTTTAGAAAATTTAATAAACTTTATAATTATTTTGAACAAACGGACTATTTTTCAAAAAAATGTGCTAACACAGAGCTAGTGCAATTTATTATCTTTGCACAAAGAAATTATATTATCTTTAAAATTGTGGCTTCCAAGATTAAAACAGAATGTCTATTTTAATACAAATTTCTTGCTATTGTTAGCGGAGCACTAACTCTGAAGTGTTCCTATTTTTAAGAACAGCAAATGTGTTTGTCGTTTTCCTTCTATAATTCCTCAGTGAACTCATATCACGATAATTACATACCTCTACTTAAAACGATCAATAATTTTTTAGCGTGTTCGCGAAAAAAGTTATACTTTACCCACTTGTTACATGACTATTTAAACTAAAAAAAAAAAATCGACCAAAGTCGAACTAAAAGTACTATTGTTTGAGATTTCCATGTGCTATTGTATTGGATTTAATTGAAACACAAAAGCTGACTTTTGGTTTTAACGGTACACCGCACATACCTAGGGAAAGGTCAATGTAAAAGCTGGATTTACCAACTGGAACAGAATAAAAAGAGTTTTGCAATGAGCTATTCATATTTTTTTTTTAAAATCCATATGAAACTTTATCATTTACAAAGTACAGAGTGATCCACAAAAAATGTGTAAAAATTTGCAGGATTTCTACAATAGTTTAATAAACGCCAATCCTGTTAAATGTTTAGAAAGAGCGTCAGCTGTAATTGGGAGTACCCGCCTTGCTTCGTCAACTTCGTACCCTCAGCCGCTAGTTAGAACAACTTTTATTCCTGTTTCCCTTTCTTCTGAACTTCTGATGCAAGCGTCAACATGAGCAAGTGTGTGCTTCCATTTTATACAAATGTTTAACTCCCCAAAAGTGGGTTTTTGTTTCTTAAATTTCACAAAATAACCTCAGTGTTTCGGGAACCTGTAAGTATTTTATTTTAAAGAACCGGGGTACCGAGCGTCCTCGACGCATTTAATTTTGAGAAGATTTCAAAAGTTATGTCATTTGAATAGTAAATGTTTGCAAATTAAAAGTTTAATTAAATACAGGGTGTCCCAATAGTGTGTGGAAGTTCGATATATACTATATTATAGAAAATATCAAACAATGTTACTTACAAAAGTTGTAGATAATATTAATCTGCACATTTCAAAATTATTTTCGATTATACAGAGTGATCCATAACTTCAGAATTAATCAAACCTATGTTTTTTTAAATGGACCACCCTGTATTTAATTGTAAATTTGAATTCCCCTGACTTTGCCCATCAAGAAAATACCAACATGTATGAGGTTATACTGGGTATTTTGGAAGTTTAAACCAATTTTATATGAAAATCGTACTAGGTTCAACCCTCTGTATATTTCAAAAGAAACAATCGAACATCAAATTTTTTTGATGAATCATTTTTAATGATGGTCTACTTTTATAAGAATATATTATTTTTTTCCTAGCGCAACAGACGTGTACAGGGTGAGTCAAAACTCAGATACATGATTTTCTCATTTTTTTTAAATGTAACACCTTGTATTTCATATCACTACTAAAAAGTACCCTAATTATACGTTCGTTTGAGTTAAATATTGCCTATCCCTAAACACAACAGTTTAGCGAGATTCTTAGATGAAATGTTAAAAAGGGTTAATTATAACTAAATTCACAATGTAATTTACTTTCTTTACTTTTAAGGTTAGGTTCACTCTGTATTTCATATCTCTACTGAAAGTACTTTAATTATACGTTCGTTTGTCCCTATCCCTAAACACAACAGTTTAGAAGATATTTTATATTTGAATGAAAAAAATATCAGCCAAAAAAAGCTATTATAAAAGCTGCTCAAAGTGACTCCCTCCAACTGCAATACAATGTTGTAATCTAGCTTCAAATGATCTTTGAACGTTTTTCAAACATTGTACGTCTATGCTCGTGATCACTTGTCTTATTCTTACTTTTACTTACTTACTTTACTTGTCTACTTTTCTGAGGTCAGGGGACCTGGGAGGCCACATAACTGGACCATCCCTTCCAATCCACCTGTTTTCAAAATTATGATTCAGAAAGTTGCGAACTGGTTGAGCATGATGTACAGGAGCTCCATCATGTAATATCCACATTCGGCGTCTTATATTTAGTGGAACATTTCCCAATAGTAGTGGTAGATGATTCTGCAGAAAGTCTAAGTAGACCTCGGCAGTTACACGAACATGAAAGAAATGCGGTCCTATGACATAGTCCCCTAATATACCACCCCAAACGCTAATAGACCATCGTGTTTGGGTATGTATCATTAACTCATAAGGCTTGGTGGTGGAATAGTAATGAAAATTGTGTCTATTGACGAAACCGTTTTTGTGAAATGTTGATTCATCTCCAAAAAGTACACAGTAAAAAAAATCATTTTCATTATTAATGCTCTCTATTGCCCATTCACAAAAAGCTATTCTTTTTTGAAAATCGTTTTCAAGAAGCTCCTGATGACGTTGGATGTGGTATGGATGTACTTTATTTTTTAATTGTATCCTATTATATTATTCCCGTTTCATTTTCCATGATGCGTGTACTGGTGTTTGGATTTTCGGTAACACTAAGTAGAATACTGAGTTCATTTTGTTTATTTAAAGTTCGTTTTTCTCTATCATTTTTTTGATATGCTACATTACCTGTACGTTTGAATCTTTCCAACAGATTTTAAAAAAATTCTTTACGAGGTTGTCGGCGATTAGGATATTTTTGCTTATAAATTCTAGTTGCCAACAAGCAATTTTCATCACTAGCCCATAGCACTAAAATCATATCAGTCAATTCATTCGTTTCAAAATTCATTTTTAAATTAGTCAAATCAATAAATTTAAATACTTGTGAAAACTAAACGTAATTTTATTTTTTTATTTAAACAATTCGGAACTGTCAAATTATTCTTTTGACATGAATTTCAAAGCCCACTTGACCTAATGCACAAAAAAAGTTGAAGTTCTCTTAGCGTTTGTAATATGATCTTATTATTTTATCTATTTTTATAGTGTTTTAAGCTCTATGATTTTGGGGAGTGGGTCAGGTTATTAAACAACTCGTATTACTTTGAAAAAGAATGTTGAGCGCCACTATATTTAAAACTTTCTAAACTTGACAATCGATTAGTGATGAAAATATAGAAAATCACTAACCATTAAGATATTATAATTAAATAAGGATAAGGTAGCGACAAATTATAATTCACAGAGACTTACTTATTCAAATTTAAATGATTTATTAAGACTTATCTGTGGTATTACAGGTATTTTAGGAGTGACTGTAGAGGCCTTCTTAAAGGGGATTCGTATG